TTTCCTGTGAAATGTCAGAATCTCCCTAGACCAGTGGTCAGCAACCTTAAACACTCAAAGAGCCATTTGGACCCGTTTCCCACAGAAAAGAAAACACCGGGAGCCACAAAACCCTTTTGACATCTAAAATGAAGATAACACGGCATTTATAGTTTTTTTACCTTTATGCTATGTATATAGGTATATGTGGGCTTAGTAACGTACTGGACTCTGGGCTTAGTAACGCACTGGACTCTGGGCTTAGTAACGCACTGGACTCTGGGCTTAGTAACTCACTACCCCCCCCGCGCTCCTCATTCGGACTCACCTGACAAAAACCTCAGCCAGCATCCCAGCCAGACGGTGTGCACTGCAGGGGGCAGGGCATGTGACACACACTTCTCCTCTCCCGCCGCCTGTTACTAGGGACTCGGCTGGGAGAGAAGGTGAGTCACAAGACCCGCCCCGTTACCAAGAAGCCCATCAGCAGTGCGGGGCCCCGCGACCCTGCACTGCCGCATATTCCCAGGACCGGACCTCAATTTTATGTAGCATTGAGTGCACCTCTCTTCCCCCTCATTTTTTTTCCTGTGAAATGTCAGAATCTCCCTAGACCAGTGGTCAGCAACCTTAAACACTCAAAGAGCCATTTGGACCCGTTTCCCACAGAAAAGAAAACACCGGGAGCCACAAAACCCTTTTGACATCTAAAATGAAGATAACACGGCATTTATAGTTTTTTTACCTTTATGCTATGTATATAGGTATATGTGGGCTTAGTAACGTACTGGACTCTGGGCTTAGTAACGCACTGGACTCTGGGCTTAGTAACGCACTGGACTCTGGGCTTAGTAACTCACTACCCCCCCCGCGCTCCTCATTCGGACTCACCTGACAAAAACCTCAGCCAGCATCCCAGCCAGACGGTGTGCACTGCAGGGGGCAGGGCATGTGACACACACTTCTCCTCTCCCGCCGCCTGTTACTAGGGACTCGGCTGGGAGAGAAGGTGAGTCACAAGACCCGCCCCGTTACCAAGAAGCCCATCAGCAGTGCGGGGCCCCGCGACCCTGCACTGCCGCATATTCCCAGGACCGGACCTCACTGGACCCCCACAACCTCAGGCCCCGCAGCCCCAGGGGTAGTTCTGACCCTGGACAGGGAGCCGCAGCAGAGGGATGAAAGAGGCACATGCGGCTCCGGAGCCGGAGGTTGCTGACCCCTGCCCTAGACAAATCAAATTTGGTTGCCCAATTATTCTTTTTATATAGAATTTTTTTTCTGTATTACACCACTAGGACTTATCATGTGAGGGCTAGTTCACACCAGCCCCATTGGGTGCTGGAACGCACTGGATCGCATCCCGGCCAGATCCCTGCATTCTGGGGCAGGAGGGGGCATGGCGGTGCATTAAAGTCAATAGCGCCACAGTGCAATCGCCCACACCGGAACGCGTGGCACATCAATGCCTGCGTTCCGGTCTGGTAGCAGTCAAAATAAATAGTGCATGCAGCAGCAAGGTGCGGGCGATCACACTGTAACCATGGGGCGTGGCTGTGGTGCCATTGACTTCAATGCACTGCCACGCCCCCTCCTGCCCCAGAATGCAGGGAGCCAGCCGGGATGTCAACCAGCGCGTCCCGGCACAGAATCAGGACGGAACGCACTGGGGCTGGTGTGAACTAGCCCTGAGTCCAATTGAAGCTTTGTCAATTATGCCTTTAATGCAGGGGTCTCAAACTCAATTTAGTCGGGGGCCACCGGACACATTTTTTTGTCCCGTGGGGGCCGATACTATATACGGTACCAGTTTTAATGTTTGCATATGTTACAAGCAGAAAGTGTCACCCATTCAAATTAATGATCAGGTGACAGCTGCTGCATGTAAATGCCTGCACACCGCATGTAATCATATGTGAAAGGATTACATGCAGTTAGGAATCAATCACTATCCCTGGATACACAACTGTGTATCCAGGGATAGTGATTGTTTTTGTAACTGCATGTAATCATATCACATACGAGTACATGCGGTATGCAGGCGTGTATATGCAGCGGCTGCCACCTGATCATTAACTTGGATGTGTGACAGTTGCTGCATGTAATCGCCAGATTAGGGATTCCTGCAGCAGGAAAACGCTAGTTTGTGACACAGAAATCCCTAATTGCACCGGAGATATAGGAGACTCCCCCCCCATTCCAATCCCCCCGCACACATAATAATACACCCCCCTTCC